CGCATTAAAAAGGTAAAATCTTACCTTTTGAGACAGTGTGGGTGGACCTGGAGAGTATTATGCTAAGTGAAAAGAGTCAGTTAAAGAAAGACAATTACCATATAATTTTACTTATATGCGGAATCTAATGAACAAAATAAACTAACAAGCAAAATAGAAACAGACTCAGAGACTGACAGCTGCCAGAGAGGAAGGGGTTTGGAGGGCTGGGTGAAAACGGTGAAGGGATTAAACAAAGAAATAAACCCATAAAGACAAAAAATATATTTTTTTAATTAAAATTTTAAAAATATATATTTCCCAGAAGCTCACTCCATTTTGGTTAAATACCTCTAGGAGAATCCCAGAAATCTGTTTTTAATCAAGTATACCAGATGATGCTGAAGCAACAGTCCGTGAACACACATATGAGAATTACTGCGTTGCCTCAAAATTGTGAATATAGTGAAAACTCTTGCATCCTGGGAGTGTATGAGCAACATCAAGAAAAGCCCAGTAGAGAGGCTATTGAAACAGCCTTTAAATCATTTCAGAAATTTATTACCGTTATTATTTTCTAAAAGTTTACTTTGAAGAATTCCATTCCTAAAAAGACAGGAAACTAACAATACTATTGCCTCCTGGCATCCCAAAGTCTAATCCCGAGGGTTTTTCGTAAGTGAGAAGAAGGTGGTGGATCTTGGAGCCTAACTCAGAAGCTCTCAGACACCCATAGGAAATGAAAGGGAGTTGGGTCCCACTGAGGTGGGGAAAGGAAAGCCTGGAATCATAGATGGACCCTGTTGAAGGTAAGGGGTAGAATGGAGAGATAATATCTCTGATTGTGCCTCTTTCTACCCATGTTACGCTGGGTGGATCATGGCCCACCCCAACTCAAGGTGGGCATAAAAACAGCAGAACCAGCCCAGCACCTGCCCAAGGAGGAAGAGTAACATCAATAAAGCTCATAACTATGAGTACATGTTGGCATGGAACAGTTCTTTTCTTCCCTTTCTTCCATCCTGGAATTTAAGTGATATCACAGAACACAGTAGTTCTTGGAAAAAGGATGGCAAATGCAGGAGTAACCAGAGGGGCACCTTCTCCTCATGGAAGGGCAGATTGGGACTAGTGGAGCCAAACTGTAACACCAAAAGCTTTGTACCCTAAGACTCATCTACTCTTCTCCTTACCCACCCCCTCCTTAAAAAAAAATCACTTAGGCTTTTGATGCTCCCTTTTCAAGTATGAATTATAGCTGAAGTTGCTGATATTTTCAAGAAAATATGAGATCATAGAATATCACGGCATCTGAGGAGTAAAATTTCATAAAACAATTGTTATAACACTGGAAAATTTGTACTAAAGGAGCAGAATTAATGGACCAAAAAAAAGTGATAAATTTTAAATGAGAAAAAAAATACCTCCAAGAAATATGGGAGAATATTGTAAAACAATCAAATGCTAACGAAACTGGTTACAAAAAATACATCAATTGAAATGAATTTAGTGGATAGGTTGACTAACAGATTGGATACCATCAAATAACATATTAGTAAGGTAGAAATTAGTTAGAGAACTCTCCCAGAAAGTATCTGGAAACAATAGATGGGAAAAATAAAATTAAAAGCTATCCAGAGAATCCTAGTAACAAAACCTAATAACATTACCAGTAAAGAGAGCTATAAACATGTATCCTCATAAACATACATGGAGACTCCTAAACAAACTATTAGCTAATTAAATGCAAATAGATAATATATATAATAAAATAAACACATTTACAAAGCTCATAGGATATAAAATAAATATACAAATATCAATTGTATTTCTATATGCTAGCAATGAAAAACTCAATAGTGAAATTAAGTAAATCCTTTAAAAATCACATCGAGTATAAAATACTTAGGTATACATTTAGCAAAAGACATGCAAAAACTTTTGCAATGAAAATTACAAAGCATTTTTAAGTGATATTAAAGAGTAAATAAATGAGTGACATTCCATTTTCATGGGTTGTAAGACACTATTGTTAAGATGCCAATTCTCTCCCAATTGATCTACATGTTCCACACAATTCCTGTCAAAACTCAGCAAGCTCTTTTATAGAAATTGATAACTGATCCTAAAGTTTATATGAATAAGCAGAATATCTAAAAGAGCCAATCCAATTTTGAAAAAGAAGAGCAAAACAGGGGGACCTAATTACACAGTTTTATTTATTTTTCAAAAAATTTTTTTCTTTATTTATTTCAGAAAGAGAGGAAGTGAGAGAAGGAAACATCAATGAGAGAGAACATCGATTGGCTGCCTCCTGCATGGCCCCCCTCCCCGACTGGGGACTGGGCCCACAACCTGGGCATATGTCCTGACCAGGAATCAAACCGGTGACCTCCTGGTGCAAGGGTCAATGCTCAACCACTGAACCACACCAGCTGAACTGAAGCCAGATGAAAAATAAGAGGCAGTTCTACCTGGTGTGGGACACTCTAAAGGAAAATGCTTTCTCCAAAGTTAAACATCATGTTGGCCAAGACTTTATCAGATCACGTCCCAATTTAAATTCTCTCTCTGGCCAATTCTGCTTTTTCCTCCTTCCTTTCATAGGTACTGATTCCTAAGAACACTTATCAGCACCTGTTTCTGAATAACCCAACCTGAACACATCACAACATATACCCATACAAAGTAAAATTCAGATTTTCATGATTTCTGGTTCCTGGTTCCTGCCTCTCATGTGGACACCACTGTTTTCTACTTCCTGGCCTTTATCTTAAGCTGCCTCAAGTGCAAACACAGGGCTTTGACCAGAACATTAATTTTCTGTTTCAGTACTGTCACAAATAGTCACGTAATATTGAGCAAATAATTTTATTTCTCTTGGTCTTTGTTTTCTTACCTTTCCATGGAGGGATCAGGAAAGGCCCTTCTAATCTTCATTCTATAGTCAACCAAACAGTTGTCTACACACAGTGCTTGAGCCACCAAAATGGTTTTGACCATCTCTAATATACACTTTCTCCTGGTATTTCAGTCTCAGTAAGGTGCCTTCATAGATAACAATCCCAGGTTTCTAACTATTAAACTGAACTCTATTATTTTGGGGAAAACAAAACAAAAAAAACCCAGCTCTCAAAATGGTTAGGAGAGCTGCACCATGATGCCCAGTGAGGGGATGGGAGACAGATGATAGGGTACAGCAAGAAGGTTCATACCTATACTGAAGGAGCTAGACTTGTACCTCTACTCCATTGAGGTGGAAAGGTGTGTGGGGAGGATTTGAGGAACTGGATAGAAATTCAGTGACAGGCCCATGTAACTTCTGTCTTCCTGTCTCTGTCTCTGTTCTGGAAGAGAGAATCCAAAATTCCCTTCTCTGGGACCACTCACATCTCACTTTTCCTTCAAAACTGCCATTCAACTATACCACCACAATCCCCAATATCTCCATTAAAACCTGTTCCACAGTGTTGCTTGTTTAACTTAGGTAAGTGATTAGCTGTGATGCTATCAAGGATCCTTAATATTTTGATGATTTTCCCTTCAGTGACTATGCAAAAAATATACAAGATCACAAGAAGAACAAGTGTAGGGAAATAAAATAAGTTCCCATACCTTACAAAGTCTTTATGCTTCTGGTGTCTGAGCTGTAGTACAGAACTTTGTCTGTGATAAATGGAAATCCAAATGACTTTATTCTCTTGAGGATTAACACTCCCTTTCATTGCTCCCATCTCCCAAATCTGGTCTTTATCAAGTTCACACGGATTCTTTGTCATTTTGTCCCTTTTCCTAGTCCTAGTGTAGAGTTGTAATCTAGCCTGACAACCCAGTCAGGCTTTCTTTGATTCCATAGGCAGCTGGCACCTCTAAGTATTTCCAAAAAACTGTCCATGATTTAAAACTGTCCATGATTTCTCTGGCAGCTTCTTCCTCGCCACCCATAAGATTTTACTAAATTCTCCCAACTTACTTCAATGCTTCTTCCAGCACTATTTAATCGGTGTGCCCCAACTAAGGTTTTAAAGTTACTCCTTAACTCTGCTCACCCATTCAAAACTCCTGTTCGCTCAACAATGGGTGAATGAATAATAGCTAAATGCCCAGCAAACCGTAACAGGGTCTGGGGCAGGGGGAGTGGGGGGGGGGGCACAAAGCAGCCTACTGCTAAGAAGGGTCTCTCTGGACCGCAGGCCGACTCTCCAACCGCTGAGCCAAACCGGCCAGGGCAAGAAGCCATTTTTTTGGAGCCCTTATGCAGTGAGAAAAATATATTTCACAGACATGATGTGAAGATTAGGTGAAAGTGACTAATGCCCAGTATGTTTTTTAGATCTTCTAGTCCTGGGGATTGAACTTTCGGCCGGGTCTTTCATTAGGAATATATATATTTTATAATCCTGTAAATGCTGGGAATGGAGAACTGGCTGATGCGGGATGTTGCAAAGAACTGAAAGAATGAAAATTAACGCCTTCTATTCTACCGGAAACCCCTCGGGATTCCCAGTAATAGCTACCATATATTGAGTTTGTTGCAATCACTGTTGCTTATTTCCAAGCACGTTTCCACCTGATCTTCACAGTAACACCAAGGGATCTGTAATACCGTCGTCTCTAGTGCATAGGTGAAGAAACCTAAGCTTGAAGAGGCGTAACATAAGGTATTCTCCCATTTTCATACAAGATGAGACAATCTTTAATACAGATCAGGGTGGGTCTTCCCATTCCAAGGCTATGATTTAGCTTCTCTCGCGATCCCGGTACCGCAGCCTCTTCAGAGTCGAGTTGCGGTCACGCACAGAGGGTGGGGGGCTGGAGGCGGTCTCCCCAGGGGAAAGGTGTGGAAAAGCCCCGCCCCGAAGGTGGGATCGCGGTGGGCGTGGCCTCACGCCAATTCTCTCAGAGGATCTGGGGCGGACCGCTGGAGAGCCGTAAAGAGCTCTATGAGTCGTAAAGTAGAGAGACGCGGAAGTGTTGTTTTACGACGATTTGAAGGAACTCTCCTGGTCGGTGATCGCTGCCGGTGACTTTTCGCACGTGGGTCGCTGTCGGTCTTCCGCCCGTAACTCGTACGTATTGGTGTGGACCAGCCACTCTGGAGGATAGAGTGTCAGCGGAGGCCAAGGATCGTGAGCTGATGGATTTTGCTGCTGAGAATGAAGCGACGTCGGGAGGCGGTCTCCATCGTGGAACTGAGGGGGCGCGGCTGAGGCTGCAGTCCGGTGGGGACGGAGTCACGGGCGAAACGGGGACGGAGAAGGCCGGCGGTGGAGAGCCGGGGAATGGACTGGCAGGAATGGAGAAAATAGGGGATAGAGAAGAAGGAAGTGGACGAAGGGCAGAGGAAATGCAAGTGGATCTAACGGTTGTGAAGCAAGAAGTTATGGACTGGCCGGAAATGGAAGAAGGTATGCTGGATGGCCAGTGGATAAAGCAGGAGGTGGAGGGTGGGCCTGAAGTGAAGGAGGAGAAACCAGACACACTGGAGGTGAAGCAGGAGGTGGATAGTAGTTTGGTGGTAAAAGAAGAGGAGGTGGATGAGCCAGAAGTAAAGGAAGAGAAGGTGAAGGTGAAGGAAGAGGTGGTGGACTGGCTAGAAGTGAAGGAAGAGAGGGAAGAGAATTTGGAGGTAAAACAGGAGGAGATGTTCTTTGGTCAGAACATAAAAGAGGAAATGATGGATGAAGTGTGTGTAAAGGAAGAAAAGTATTTCCCGAAGAACGAAATGTTGGATGATACAATGGTGAAAGAAGAGCCTCACATAAAGTCCCCTGTGGGCTCCAAGCGGAAACTGGCCATGTCCAGGTAAGGCAAGGGAAAATCCATTGGGAGAATAAAGCTGTGAAATCCTCTGTTGTCTGGTTTAAAGGAAACTGCACTACCAGCAGGGTATAGAAAGTTGAGCACCACTATGTGTCCCTGGAGCCTGAGTGGTGAGAGTGGGAGCAGGGAATTGGGGGTGAACGGTTTTGTCCGCTAACAACAAATTCAGTGAAAATATGTGAGGTTGGTAGTGCCCAGTGAACAAGTCAGGAAATGAAAATTCTGGGGACCAGAAAGCCATGGGACCAAATTCTGGCTTGATTTAATATGTTCTTGAATCAGTGTTTGAGAGAGGGAAGAGATGAGGGTAAGTCTAATAAAACCAACAATGACAAAGTGGATTAAGTTAAAATTAGACAAAAATGCACTTGAACTCATCCAGTTGTTTAGTTTTCTGTGGATACTATGAATATTCATTATTTTTATTTAGTTTTCCAATAATGCGTGATCATGTGGCAGCATAGGAAATAAAAGTGATCAGATTCATGGGACTTTTACTATCTAGAACACAAGAGGAGAGAGAGAAGTAGCTGTAGTTTGATTGTTAATATCACAAGATCCTGCAAGAGCAATTGAAGACAAATAGTTGGTAATAGCATTCCTAGATTATTCTGATGCCTGTTCTAGATTGGATGTGTGGTTGAGGAAAGAGATGCAACTGCTACTATCTAAATTTGACTGGGTCTTGTATACTTTTACTGGTGTATGTGCCTTTAAGAGATAAACGCTTAACTCATGTAGTGAACATCTGGATATATGTTCACACCCACACAATCATTAAGAGATTGCCAGGAATTATAAATTAAAATGTCATTGCATAATCTCATATTCTGATTATAGTAGTAAAAAAAAGTCAAAGGTGAGATGGTTTTTTAAAAAAATCTAATACATGCTTTCTTGAGTTATATATCACTAATAACATTGTAAATGGAATTGTCATTTGGAGAGTTTCCTAGAGGAGAATTTTCCAATGATGTTTGACAGTTATCAAGTCCTTTTTTTTTTTGGTATGTGCCCCTAGGAGGAACCGAACCCAGGACTCTGGTCCTCAGGCCGACGCGCCAACCGCTAAGCCAAATTGGCCAGCACAGTTATCAAGTCTTTTATCAGAGTAACTTTTATATACTTTATTCACTATGACTATATCTGTAAATTGGTTGTAACAAGTAATTGACTCAGATTAAAATTTTATAAACTAATAAGTAGAATTAATAATTGATAATTTATTAAGTTTCCTGTGGGTTTTTATAGATGTGAAACTTGTGGTACAGAAGAAGCCAAGTACAGATGTCCACGATGTTTGCGGTATTCCTGCAGGTACATATAATTTCCTACCTTATTATCTCTCTCTCTACAATTGTTCTCTCAAAGTATAAAAGTACCTCCTCTTTGTCTCTTCAGTTTGCCCTGTGTAAAGAAACACAAAGCAGAACAGACATGTAATGGAGTTCGAGATAAAACTGCATATGTTTCATTACAACAATTTACTGAAATGGATCTCCTAAGTGGTAAGCTATTTTATGTATAGCAGATTGATGCTTCCTGGCTACTGGCATATATTGTTTGTTTATTTTTCTGTTTTGAAATTTTTAGATTATCGATTTTTGGAAGATGTGGCAAGAACAGCGGACCATATTTCCAGAGATACTTTATTGAAAAGACCATTAAGCAATAAACATGTAAGTATTTCTTCTAATCCTTTCCAGTTAGAATTCCTTTTAATTAATTAGATTCCTTTTTTTCACTCAACAGATGTATTAAGTAGCTACCATAGACCAGTTACTAGGAATACAGCGCTGACCAAAGCAAAGTCCTTCTCCTCAGGAAGATTGTATTGTAGGGAGAGAAATAGGAGTTGGGTAGAAAAACAAACACAGTTTCAGATAGGATTAAATGCATGTGGAAAATAAAGAAAACACAAGAGATTAAAGAAAATGTGAATGCTGTTTATTGGAAAGAGATTGTAATGGTACTGTTTTCTTTAAAAAAAATTTTTTTCTTCATTGATTTTAGAGAGAGAGGAAGGGAGAGGGAGAGAGTGATAAAAGCATTGATGAGAGAAAACATTGATTGGCCACCTTCTGCACGTCCTCCACCGAGGATTTGGCCCACAACCTGGGCATATTCCCTGACTGGGAATCGAACCGGAGACCTCTTGGTGTATGGGTCGATGCTCAACCACTGAGCCACACTGGCCGGGTGAGGGTACTGTTTTCAATACAGTGGTCAGGAGAAACTTCTTTGAGAGATGACATTTAAGCAGTGATCTGAATAATGGGAAAGAGGCAGTCAGGTGAACATTTGGAGGAAGACTATACCAGGGAGAGACAAAAGCAAAGTAAAGATTGAGTTAGGAACGAGGTTGGTGTGTTTAAAGAATTAAAACAGGGGCAAAGTGACTGAAGTGTAGTTTGAGGAGAATGTTGAGTCCTGGTTCTAATTCATTCTAAGTGAAACTAGAAGCCATGGAAGGGTTCTGAGAGTGTTTGCTTTTTGAAAGCTCACTCTTGTTGCTGTCTGGAAAATGACTTCTAGCTGGCTGGAGTGGGAGATTGGAAGTAGGAAGACCAATTAAAAGGCAATTGCTATGGTTCAGGTGAGAGATGATGGTGACTTAGGTAATGCTATTAGAATTATTAGGAAGTAATTAGATTCTGGATTTAAAGGAAGAGCTAACAGGACTTGCTGTTTCAATACATGTAATTTCCATACGCTGTTATCTCTTTTTTTTTCATCTTCACCCAAAGATGTTTATTGGTTATAGAGAGAGTAAGGGAGAGAGAGAGAGAGTGGAGAGAAGAGAGAGAGAGAAACATCGATTGGTTGCGTCTCGTACGTGTCCACAACCTGGGTATGTGCCCTGACTGGGAATGGAATTTGCAACCTTTCCGTGTATGAGGCGACGCTCCAACCAACTGAGCCACACTGGCTAGGGCTTATCCCTTTTTCATTCCTTGAGCACTATTTCAAATTAAAGCTTACATATTTGAAATATTTTGTAGCTGCTCGTTCCAGAAATTCTTTAGTATTGTTTTTAAATCATGTCATGGGATTATGTTCATTTTGCAGAGGCTGTTTTGATAATGAGGTTGCAGAATTTTAATACCTTTTAAATGACTCCTTTTATTGGTGTCATTGGTTCAGCCATGACATTGCACATATCTGAAAGAAAGATTATCATGCATGCACTTTTTCCTCAAGCCTAATTAGGCATATTAAAATTCTACTTAAAAATTAAATTACTTTTGCCCTGGCCCGTTTGGCTCAGCAGTTAGAGCGTTGGCCTGCAGACCAGAGAGTCTCGGGTTCGGTTCCCACTAAGCATGTACCTCGATTGCAGTTTGTCCCCGGCCCCGGTTGGGGTCGTACAGGTGGCAGCCACTTGATGTGTCTCTCTCACATCGATGTTTCTCTCGTTCTCTTCCCTCTCTCCCTCCCGCTCTATCTGAAGATAAATGCAAAAATGTCCTTGGGTGAGGATTAAAAAAAAATTAAATTACTTTTTAAAACTTTTTATTATGAAGTATGGTATGTACATCAAAAAAAAGCATAAATGAATAATTATAAAATTAATATCCATGTAACTACCATTCAAGTCTAAAATTAGAGCATGCACCAGCTTCTCAGAAGTTTCTTGCCACCCCTTTGTGCCCTTGCCTGATCCATTCTTATTTCTGAATAGTTTTCTAGTTTAGAACTATACCACAATTTATCCGTTCTTTTCTTGGTGGACTTTGGGTTTTTGTTTATAACAAAAATTTAAAAATTAGGAGTAATGCTACTATGAACAATTTGTTTATGAATTATGGTTTGCATGCACATATGTTTTTCTGGGGTTTATACCTGGGAGAGCAGTTGCTTTGTGGTGGGGTGTACATATCTTCAGTTTGACTAGATGCTACCGAAACATTTTCTGAAGTGGTTGTAGCAGCTCTCAGTAGCTCTCAGTAGTGTGTAAATGTACCTATTGTCGCATTCTGTCCAATACTTGATTTGGTCAGTTTTAAGATTTTTGTCAGTTAGATGGCTGTATAATTTTATCGTAGTTTTTAATTTGCAGTTCTCTGATTTCTAATGAGATTGAGCACCTTTCAAATATTTTATTGGCCATTTGGGTTTTCTCTTTTGTGGAAGACCTGTTCAAGTCTTCTGCTCATCTTTTCATTGGTCAACTTTCTTTTACTGAATTTTAGGAATTCTTTGTATTTCTTGTGTGCTTGTTGATTGTGTTATAAATATCTTCTTCCATTCTTTAGCTTTTTTTCCTACTCTACAATGTCTTTTGCTGAACAAATATTCTTATTTGTCAAATTTATCATGTTTCATTTAGAGTTAGTGTTAATGGGTTTATGAAGAAACCCTTCCCTAACTTGAAGTTATAAAGTTATTCTCCCATAATTATTTTCTGAAAGTTTTTTAGTGTTGCATCTCACATTTATATCTGTAAACTACTTGAAATTGATTTTTGTGTAACATGTGAAGTGGAGGACCCATTTAATTTCCCGTGTGGATAATCCACTTTTCCTAGCACCAGTCTTTTCACTATTGCTCTGCAGGACTATCTTTGTCATATATCAAGCATCCATATATGCTTGGGTCAGTTTCTGGCCTGTCTGTTCTACTTGTCAATCCACACCAATGCTATGCTCTTTCAATTATTGAAATTTTTTAAAATTGAAACTTGCTATCTGATAGAGTGAGTCCTCCTGCTTTGTTCATTTTTTAGAGTATAACTGTATTCTTTGTAATTCTATACAAATAGGAAGAATCAACCTGTTCCTTTATAGTCTTCCCTGCCCCAACCCCTGGAATTTTGATTGGGGTTGCATCTATTTTATAGAATAACTTAGGTGATTAGACTTCTTTATAGCATTGAATCTTTAAATCCTTGGCTGTGTTGTATCTGCACTTATTTATTTCTTCTTTAATGTCTCTGTAATTTTCTCAGTGGAGGTCTTGCACATTTTTTGTTAGATTTATTCCTGGGCACTGCTTTTTCATGCTATTTTAAATAGCATTTTCTTTTTAATATCACTATCTTTTTGCTGGTATTTATGAATTAGTTTTTTGTTGTTTATTTTATAGTGAGCAATCATATCAAAACCTATCCCAGTACCTTATCTATAGATCGTTTAGGTTTTCTCTATAAATAATTCATCACAATTTGTTTCCATTCTTAATCTTTTAATCTCTCTCTCTCTCTCTCTCTCCTTATTAGAATAGCTAGGATTCTAGTTCAATGTCAGATGCTAGTGATGATAGTAGATATTTATGTTGCAAGTCCCAAGTCTGCCCCTAGACTTGATAGAAGGATTTTGCTAGAAGGATTCATAGGATTCAACAAACAGTTGTACTCATGGATATAATTTATTACAGTGAAAGGGAACAGAGTAAAATTAGCAAAATGAAAAAGCATTTTGGGTAGTATCTGGAAGAATTCAGTCACAGTCTTCAGAGTCCTCTGCCGTTAGTCACACACGACACAGTTAATTCCTGTGATAATCAGTTGTTATAAAACATGTGAAGTACCTTCTACCAGGGAAGCCCATTAGGGACTCACTGTGCAAGTTTTTTATTCCTTTTAGATCAGGTTTATTATATGTTGTTCCAGTTGTTTATAACAATACTGATTTTTCTGTCAGTTCCAGAGAGAGGTCGATTAACATTTCCCAGTAGATAAAATCAAAAGGTTTTGTACATTTCTCCTTATAACTCAGTTATTAGATACAGTCGTCCCTCACCACTTCGCGCTTCGACTTTTGCAGCTTCACTCTGTCACGGTTTTTTCAAATATATTCATTAAAAGTTGATTGAGACAGTGAAAATGATACAGCACGCACTTGGTTGTCTGAGTCAATTATACACTCCTTTATTAAAATTAAAATTACTGTACATATGGACTGTAGGTCTATGTATTCAAGCATTCCCACAAATCCTTCAATACCAGGTGCAACCGCTCGACCACTCCTTGTGTGTGGGCAGTAACTTTTTTTAAAAAAATCAGGTGTGGTGAAACCAAGCCAATCAGAGCATGCTGTTCACTGATTGGCTATCCTATCCTCTTCCTATCCTGGCCACTGATTGGCTCAGCCTCATGCAAGTTCATTTCTCTCATACACGATTCTACATTGCTACCCATCGGAAGCATCTTTGTTCTTATAAGTGTTCACAATTTCTGAGAACTTTTATCTAAGCCCCACGATGGCTCCTAAACGAGTTGCTGCTTCTAAACCTTCTGACGATGAAACTAAGTGCTGGAGGAAGATGCTTACCATCCAGGAGAAGGTGAAACTCTTGGATATGATCAAAGATGGCAAGAAAATCGTGGAGGTTGCCTGCCATTACGACTTGAATGGGTCTACCTTTCACTCCATCCATAAAGATGAAAAGAATATCCGTGCAACGGCTACTGTCTCTTTCAACAAGGAAGCAAAGCGCTTCGTGACAAGTTGTAATACGTTCATAGTGAAAACGGAGTCTGCCCAGCCATTTGGATCAGTGACAGTCGTGACAAAAACATTCTGTTGGATTTGCTGGTCATCTGGGAGAAGGCGAAGCAGCTCTATCAGCGCTTTACAGCGGACGAATCTCAACAAGGACTCTCTTCTGCAACATTTATGGATTTCATGGTGAGCAAGGGTTGGTTTGAGAAGTTCCAGAAGAGGTATCATCTGAAGAG